TATACTGCCATTTGTTTACCCATTTATCTATTCATGGCTATTTGGGCTGTTCCCACCTTTTGACCACTGTGAATAGCACTGCTGTGGATATGAGTGTACATATACATGTTTGGGGACCTGTTTTCAATTATTTTGGCTATATAAGTCGGAGATGAATTGCAGGATCATATGGTAATTCTACGTTTGACTTTTTGAGGAACAACCAAACTTTTCCACAGCAACTGAGCCATTTTACATTACCACCAACAGCGTACAAAGGTTCCAGTTTCTCCTCATCCTTACCAACACTTGTTGTTATTATTTTTTTATTGTGATAAGCTATCTAGTGGGTATAAGTGGTATTTCCTTGTGGTTTTGATTTGCATTTCCCTAATGACTAATGATGTTGAACATCTTTTCATATGCTTGTTGCCCATTTGTATATCTTTTTTGAAGAAATGTCTATTCAGATCCTTTGTCCATTTTTTAATTGAGTTGTCTTTTTTGTTGTTGAGTTGTAAGAGTTCCTTTTATATTCTGAATGCGAGGCCCTTATCTGTTATATGATTTGTAAATGCTTTTTCCCATTCTATGGGTTGTCTTTGCTTTCTTGTAATATCCTTAATGCATGGGAATTTTTAATTTTGTTGGAGTCAGTTTATTTATTTTTTTCTATTGTTGCTTGTGCTTTTGATGTAATATCTGTTAATCCATTGCCAAATACAAGGTCATGGAGATTTACTCCTATTTTTTTTTCTATGCATTATGGTTTAGTTTTGAAATTTAAGTTATTGATCCATTTAAAATTAATTTTTGTATATAGTATGAAATAGGGGTCCAAATTTATTCTGCTTCATTCTGCCTTTTATAACTGCTGTAAGGACCAAGGTGCATTTACTTTGCGTCTTCTTTGAAATACGTTGTTAGGGGCCAGGGTGGAGCAGGTTTTGCTGAACTCTGATTCCTACTGGCTTATGACAGCACAAATATTTCTTGTTCATACTGCACTAATCCCTCAGATAACTTGGGGATTTGGCTTGTGGTGTCCTTAGAGATGAATGAAGCCTGACAAAGCTTCTACCATCTGAAGGTCACTGTGGGAGAGAGAAGGTCTTTTGCACTCAGTCTCTTCAAGGCTTCTACTTTGACTTAATTTCACTGACCAAAGCTATGGTCAACGTGAAGGGAGAAGTGTAGTCCTACCAGGTTTGGAAGGAGAAGGAAAAGAAGTAGGTGGTGATACCTGCCAGAGGGTATCACTGAACATGGTGGTGTTTGTGAAATATTTGAACTATTTGTTCCAAAATACAAAATTTAAAAGCATCCCATTTAAAAGTTTAAAAGCACATGGTAAAGCATCATTTATTCATCATGATCGTTGAATCATGGTAAACAGTATACTAACTGTGTTTGCTGAAATTTGCTTTTGTACTATTTGTAAAGAAAAAGTTGTTTAGTTAATGATAATGTAAGTGAGATTTAATTAAGATAATCTTTAGCTTAATTAGAAAACCAATTTTCTAGTAATTTACTAGGAGTTATTTATGCGCAAGGAATTTGAGTGCAGGCTATTTATCTGTTAAAACTTTACTGTCTTAAAATTGTAAAAAAAAAAAAAGAGAGAGAGAGAAATAATAGTAATGACAGATTTGAGAAGCACTTGAAGACTATTGCTTTTATCAGGATTTCAAATTTAAACATTAAAGAAGCATATAACTTGTAAAGCCTATGGACATCCATAATCCAACATTAGAGTCTTGTTATCCACAGAGGAACAACAATTTTGACATTAATTTACAGTGATCCAGTCTCTTACTCACTATACTTCAATTTTAGAAGTCTAAAAATTAAAATGTATAGTGTTTCCCATACATTATTGAGCTACATTGGTAAAAATGTGGCGATAGAAAGCAGAGAATGATATTATAGATCACCAGTAGGTGTCAGTCACAGCCTGTGTAATGGGGCTGCTTATTTGCTAGGATTTGGGGCATCTATTCATATGTGGTTTTTGTTGTTTTAAGAGGCATTGTACTAATGGACCGCAGTTTTCTTAAGGTCAGTGTGCTTATTTTTAAATAAAAACACAATGTACTTACTTGTTAGTAAAGACACAGGGATGCACCACTGGCAGCAGAAGTATATTATTCCAGTGCTTATTTGTGTATATAGCTATAGCTCAAAATAATTTACTAGTTTGTCATGGAAAGATTAGAATATAATCTGATAGAGCCAAGTAGGCATCCAGAAAGAATGACCTTGGGTTGTGTGAGTTTGTGAGACACAATATTGATATTGTATCTAGATGAAACTAGATGAGGATGTAACAGTCTAACAACATTTCTTTTCTGGACAAGTCTTCAAGTCTTTCCTTTTTGTAGTAACAGCTATCATTAATCATACCCTCCCTCCCCTTCCCTAACTCCATCGTTCTTTAGTTTTCTTAGGATGCTTTGTATATGTGCCAATAAATGGAAGTGTGTATTATCCTTACTAAGAGAGATACTGAAAGAAACATTCCAGAGACCTGGATAGATCCACAAGTAACATTTGAGGAAGGACTTGTTTTTTCAAAGAACCTCATTAGGACAGGCACAGCAGCTCAGACCTGTAATCCCAGCACTTTGGGAGGCCGAGGTGAGAGGATTGCTTGAGCCCATGGGCTTGAGACCATCCTGGGAAACTTGGCGAAACCTCATCTCTACAATAAATCAAAAAATTAGGCAGGCGTGGTAGCACATGCCTGTAATTCGGACTACTTGGAAGGCTGAGACGATAGGATCACCTGAGCCAGTGGGTCGACGCTAGAGTGGCCGTGAGAGTGCCACTGCTCTCCGGCCTGGTTGACATGAGTGAGACTCCAACTCAAAAAAAAAATATATATATATATATATAAGCTCGGTGTGGTGGCACATGTCTGTAGTTCCAGCTACTTGGAAGGCTGAGGCAGAAGGATTGCCTGAGCCCAGTAGGTAGAGACTGCGGTGACTGTGAGCGTGCCACTGCACTCCAGCCTGGCTGATGGAGTGAGACTCCAACTCAAAAAAAAAAGAAAAGAAAAGAAAAGAAGGAACCTCATTACATATATGATGTCAAAACATGAGGTGAAAAATCACAGTGTTTAAAAACTGAATACAATTGGTTCTATCAAGAGTTAATATTTAATGCAATAAACAATATTCATATTCAGTGATATAGGGCTATCAAAACAGAGCAAGAATATGTAACTTGGGATATTGTTGCTAAGTATTTAAATGGATCAGTATACAAATATGAAATTAATAATGACATTTCTTTGTTTAAAACAAACGAGTGCATTTCCATTATGTTCAGATACTTTTTAAAAAAATTCCTTAGAATAAAAGATAAGCCCTTAATGATCTGTTCCTTGCTACTTTATGCAAAATCATGCATCTTCACAACCAATGGCTCAGATATACCAAACTAATGGTATTTGTCCTATTGAGTATTTACACCTCAAATTGTATATAATTGATTTCTTAATTAATGTAAAAGCATGTACTGTACATACCACATTTTAAAACTCAATTTTTCTATTATGAAAGACATACATGTTCATTGTTACAAACTCAAATGACAGGAGTAGATGGAGAAAAAGCAATTCTAGTTCTTTTTCTAGTGATAATCACTATTACTAAGTTTCTGTATGAAAAATTACTTTGTTATTACAAATCTAAATCTTTCTAGTCCTCAACACTTTAATTTTTCTATTGACACAGTGGTTTTCATAGCAGTATTTTTGAAAATGTAAGCTATCTGCAGGAGGACTGTTAGGGAGCTACAGCCAAATCATTATGTTTGCAATTTCCCAACCATATACGCGTCTCTTGCCTTTTCCTATGTTGCTGCTTGTGCCATCCAGTACTGCCCTCCTCTCTACCCCACATCAGCCTCTTACAAATTTTTTATACATCTTTCAGACTCAAGGCAGACCTAATTTCTTTTTAAAAAGCCATTCATCAGTCATTATTATTGATGTGTAGCTTATCCTACAGGAAGCTTGAATGTAGAATGAAAAAAATTGTTCCTGACTTGGTGTGGTTCTTCAATCTTGTGACTCATATCTTTTATGATATCTTATATCTGTGTTGTGTGTGTATGCTGGTGTGTGTGTGTGTATGCTGGTTTTCAGTTATTTATAGGAGGTTTTCTTCCCTACCGAGTGCCTCCAGCAGAGAGAAGCTTGCTTTGCTTTCAACCTGTGAGTGGAATTGTTCTAGGATTCTTTTCATAGCAAGGCCAATCCTTTCAGGGCTCTGACACTGAATAAGGGACCTAGATTTGTCTCCTTTTCTCTGTCCTCCCATTGGCCAATTTCCTGTCCCAGCAACATCACACCTCTATTCTGATCTGACACTCCCTTGGACCATGTGAGCTCCAGCTTCTGCTCTTCCTTCAGAGCTTAGCTGGGTCTGCTACCTGGGGATTTCTCTTACATGCTTTTGTGGAGCATGATTTGAAAGTTTGAAGCGTGTATTAGTTCTCAGGGTTGCTGCAACAAATTACCACAAATTGGGGGTTTAAAGTAACAGAAATTAATTCTCTCACGGTTCTGGAGGCCAGAGTCCACAATCAAGATGTGGTCAGGTTGGCTACTTCTCAGGTTTTTAAGGTTCTCATTCTGTGCTCCCAGCTTCTGGGTGTTGCCAGCAATCTTTGGTGTTCCTTGGCTTACAACTGTAGCACTCTTAATCTGGCTGTGTTGTCACTTGGTGTTTTTCCCTCTGTCCATGTCTGTTAAGCATATTTTTTATTTCTTCCATGATCATGGAATATGAAGTTTCTGGTTTTTCTAATGGCCATTTATTTTAAGTGTTGAAATTTATCAATTTAAATTGTAGTATGGTTTGTATAAGCATAAACCCCAGACCTGCTGATTTGTTATTTTCACATTTCTCAATTTACACCCCTCAAAAAGATAGTACTATGTGTTTAAGCTAGTTAGAAATGTTTATACATTTTTCAAAGATAAAATTTAATTCTGAGTTTTTAATTTGCAGCCAGAAAACCTTGCTCAGAAGCTTCCAAACCTTGTGGAACTGTGAGTCTGTTTATTCAAATTTTTAAAAAACAATGAAAATAATTTTAAATTATTTGGAATAATAGAATGTATCATTTTGATATATTGTTTTTTGGTATCACAATCATGGTGCTTATGTAGGTAGATTTGTGGCTCTGCTAAACCAAATAGTATTTTACCATTTAAATTTGTCTTTGAAATATCTCACCTCAAGGTCATGAAGTTGGGGAGAGAGGCATTTTCTCTTGGTGCAGTGTCTTGTCACAGAATCCTTCTGGATAGTCCACGTAATTGGGAAAATTCATTATTGTCATTACTACTGCTACATGTGATCCTTGGTATAGTCAGACAGCGTAGGCTGTAGTCAGACTGTGTTGGCGATTTAAAGTATATAGTAAAATTTTCTTTCCATGCATCCTCCACACTTCGTTTTAGTTCTTTTTATGACTACCTCTGTGATGCTAAATAACACATTCACTCCTTTGTTTTTAATGCATCAACATTAAGTGTCAACATACCACTCAGGAACATAATTTAGATACCTTGTATTTCCCTGTCTTCCTAGCTGCCTCCTAAGTTTTTGCAGAAGGATTTGCATGACTATGTCTTGTTCTTTGTCACTTGGCATGATTCTCAGGAGGTAAAGGAAGGAAAGCTAACCTTACATTCCATCTTCTTTGTCATTTCCTTTTGTCCCATCCTTTCATTTTGAAAAATTTCAAATAAGAAAAGTTGAAAACAGTACAAACAGCACCTATATCTTTTACTTAAATTTAATACATTTAACATTTTGGCACATTTGCTTTCTCTCTTCCCTACATACTTTTTTTGGTGCTGAATCATTTGAAAGTAAATTTCAGATATAATATTATTACAACTAAGAAAAGTAATGTTAATACAATATAATGTAATACACAGTTCATATTTAAATTATCTCAGTTTTTAAAAATAACATCTTTTAAAGTAGATTTCTGAATTTATCTGTTTTCTCTTGATTTGATTCCTTTTAAACATTTTTGATAGTGTTTGATTGTATTTGCTTTATAAAGTTTTTGTTCTCATTCTCTTTGTACATATGTATATATACACACACACACAAATACACACACACATTTTTGAGAATAATTGCATACATCATGACTCTTTCTCTATCTCTAAATACTTCAGTGTGTACTATAAAACTGAGGATGGTTTTCTATCTTTTTAGATCTACTTTTGTGTCCTTTACAGTGCTTTATTTTTTTCTCATATAGGTTTTGATAATTTTCAAAATCTATTCCCAAATACTTAATTTTTTTTACTGTTGTAAATGAGTTTTCTCATCTGTTGTATTTTTTAACTGTTGTTTTTTTAAATTTATGAACACTATTGATTTTTGCATGATAACTTTATATTCTGCTATCTTGCAGAAATCTTTTTTTGTTCCAGTTAGTTTTATCATAGATTCTCAAGGGTTTGTTATGTGTAGTCATTTATGAAAATATAAATAGTATAATTTTTTCTTTACCAACCTTTATGCCTTTAATTAATTTTATTGGTTAATCTCTCCCAATGATGTGAAAGTTTACTGGAGATAGTAGATATCCTTGTCTTTTTTCTGACCTTAGTGGGAATGCCTGTAGGGTTTCCCCATTAAGAAAGATGCTGACTTTATAGTTAAGGTATATGTAGTCTATTGTGTTCAGCAAATATCTATCTGTATTAATTATCTATGGCTACTTAACAAATTACCCCAAAATATTATGACTTAAAGAATAAACATTCATTATCTCATATTTTCTGAAGTCCCAGAATGTGGGCGTGGCTTCGCTAGGTACCTTTTCCTCAAGGTCTCTCACAAGACTGCAGTCAAGGTTGTTGTTGGCCTTGGCTGGGATCTCATCTGAAGACTCAACTGAAGAAGGATCCTCTTCCGTGTTCACTCATATGATTGTCCTCGGGATTCAATTCCTTGTAGACTGTTAGATTGAAGGATTCGGTTTCTTGCTGGCTGTTAGCCAGAGGACTTCCTGAGTTCCTTGCCACTTGGCCTCACTATAGGATAACTTACAGCATAGCAACTGGCTTCCATCAGAGAAAGTAAGCAAGAGAGCAGGAGAGAGTATACCATACAAAAGCCACTTTCTCTTTCTAAACTAAGCTTGAAAGTGATATCCTGTCACATTTGCCATATTCTATCTAGTAGAAGTGAGTCACAAGGTCTATCCCATACTTGAGGCTATTTTGAAAGGACATGAATGCCAGGTCACAGGGATCAGTTGGGACCATCTGAGGCTGCTTATCACACCATTAATTCCTATTTTCCTAAGGAGTCTATTCATGTGAAATTTTGTTAAAGGCTTTTTTGAACTTTAAAACTAAGGAAAAATTTGGGGGACCTTCAGGCAATAAGATAAAACTTCATGAAGATAAAGACTGCAACATAATACTCCAAACAGTATTATATATATACTAGTCAATGGCTATTGACTTTTGGTTTGTCAGTTTTTATTTTTCTTTGAGCACTTAAAGGTTTTTTTAAAAATTTTTTCCTGTCTTCTGGTCTCCATAGATTCTCATGAGAAGTCAGTGGGATTTTCATCATTTTCCACATGTATGTAATATATCATTTTTTCTGGGAGTTTTCATGCTTTTTTTTTTTTTTAAGAGGCAGAGTCCTACTCTGTTGCCCTATCTGGACTGCAGTGCACAGTCACAGCTCACTGTAACCTTGAACTCCTGGGCTCAAGGAAACCTCCTACCTCAGCCTTCCAAGTAGCTAGGACTACAGGCTTGCACTACAATACTGGGCTAGTTTTTTAAATTTTTTGTAAAGCTGGGGCCTCACTATGTTCTCCAGGCTGGTCTCAACTCATAACCTCAAGCATTCCTTCTGCTTTGGCCTCTCAAAGCATTGGGATTACAGGCATGAACTAGTGCACCTGGCCCCATGATTTTCTTTTTATTCTTATGAGTTTGTGTCTTTTCCCAAATTTGGGAAGTTTCAACCCAAATTGATTCTTCAGATATTTTTTTGCACCATTCCCCCTCTATTTCTTTACTCCATTTGCACATATATTAGACTTGTTGATAATATCTCATATACCTCTGAGGCTCTTTTGTTTCCTTCATTCTTTTTTCTCTCTACACTTCAGATTATATCATTAATGTTGATCTGTCTTTAAATTAAATGACTCTTTTGTCATATTCTGTTGGTCAGCTTTATCCAATAAATTTTTCAGTTCTAGAATTTTCATTTTTTTAAAGTTTCTGTTTTTCTACTGAGATTTACTGTCTTTACAGGTATGCTTCTACTTTAGATCACTGTGCATATAGTAGCTACTTTAAAAATCCTTGTCTACTAATTTCAATGTCTGTGTTATCTTGAAGTTGCTATTCATTATTTGTCTTTTTTGCTTTTGATAACAGACCACATTTGCATAGGTTTTCATATGTTGAGTAATTTTAAATTATAGCCTAAAAACTGGAATTGTTATGTTTTGGAGACTGGACTTTGTTATAGTCTCCCAGCGTGTTGATATTTTTGTTTTAGCTAGTAATTTACCTGGTTTGACTCAGTAATGTTGATTTTTTGGAGAGCACCTGAAATGTTAGTCCAGTTCTCTTATCTTTAGCTGTAGTCTCTTCCACATACGCGTGGTTTGGGGACCAGCCATTGATTTAGGCAAAGTTTATACTTAGAATCTAAGTATACTTTGTTGCCCCAGTTGGAGTGCAGTGGCACAACCATAGCTTACTGTAACCCTGAACTCCTGGACTCAAGTCATCTTCACACTTCAGCCTCCCAAGTAGCTAGGACTATGGGCATGCACCACCATCTTATAACCTCTCTGGCTTTTTCTTGTATTATTTTACCTCCTATTGGCTATGATTGCTTTGAACTCTGTCCTCTGATTCTCTAGGCTAGCAAGACAAATTTCCTACCAGAATTTTAGCTACTTTGAGTGGTAGCTATCTATACTCTGAGTGCTATTTTTTTTTTTTTTTTTTTGAGTTGGAGTCTCACTCTGTCACCCAGACTGGAGTGCAGTGGCCGCTCCCGGCCACCGCAGCCTCGACCTGCTGGGTTCCGGCGATCCTTCCGCCTCAGCCTTACAAGTAGCTGGAATTACAGGCATGCACTACCACGCCTGGCTAATGTTTGATTTATTGTAGAGATGAGATCTCGCCAAGTTGCCCATGCAGGTCTGAGTGCTATTTTTTTTAAAAAGAAACTTTAATTCACCTAGTGCTATTCCTTCTTCTAAGTTTTGAGTTTTCTCCAGCATTGACTTGTTTTTGTTTATAGTAGTTTGCAGTGCCTTAGGGTTGGGGTGTGTGTGTGTGTGTGTGTGTGTGTGTGTGTGTGAACGAGAGAGAGAGAGAGAGAGAGAGATCCTTAGTGTTTTAATTGTTACCTGCCAGAAGATTACTTCAGTAGGAGCTTAATATGCTGTATTAGTATTAGAAATTGCATTCTTTTATTTTAGCCTTTTTTTTTTTTTCAGTTGGATTCTTACTCGGTCGCCTAGACTGGAGTGCATTGGCCACTCCTGGCCACCGCAACCTCGCCTGCTGGGCTCCGGCGATCCTTCCGCCTCAGCCTTCCAAGTAGCTGTAATTACAGGCATGCGCTACCACACCCGGCTGATTTTTTGATTTATTGTAGAGATGAGGTCTCGCTGCCCAGACGGGTCTCGAGCCCGTAGGCTCAGGCAATCCACTCACGTCAGCCTCCCAAAGGCGTGGGATTATAGGCTGAGCCACCGAGCCCGGCTTATTTTAGCCTATTTATGTCTTTATATTGAAAGTGGATTTGTTGAAGTCAACATTTGTTGGTTCTTTGCTGTTTGACCAGTTTGACCAATCTAGGCTTTTTTTTTTCTTTTTTTTTTTTAATTTGAGATCTTACTTTGTTGCCTAGACGGGAGGGCAGTGGCACAATCACAGCTTACCACAGCCTCAAACTCCTGGGCTCAAGCAATCTTCCTTCCTCAACCTCCTTAGTAGCTGGGACTACAGGTGCATGCCACCACACTTAG